GAGAATACTGAAGGATCGAGAATGAATTTGATATTTCAGCAGCTTAAGCAGCAGCATGACAATCTTTAAATGTTTCCCTCGTCTCTTCTGCATCATCTGCTATGCTACTTTATTAATTGCCTACTTTTACTTTTCATATTGCATAAACATACTGGTTGTTGCATATGTGAAAGTACTCAGATATACTCACTCTGTAAAATACTCTGTTACAAGTAAAAGTCTTTTTTTTATTCAAAGGGATAGTTCACCCAAAAATGAAAATTCACCTATAACCTAATCATCACTAAGCCGTTGGAGGGGAGGGTGATTGAGGGGCACGTGATGACATCAGCTAGAACTCGCAAGTATCGCTGATATCGTCACGTTCCCCGTGGGCACGACATGCATAGAGGCGCAAGCTTGTGCGGTGTGTGAAACCCTGTATAAATGATGCATTTGTGTGTCGAATTTAAATGTCGGGGCTTACGGACACTTGCATGACACAAAGGTCCAGTCTGTAAGATTAAGGTGACCCGTGTGTTTCATCTGAATTGTTGTTTTCTTTACCATATAATGGGCTCCTTAAATCTAAAAACTTTATATTTACATGGAGGGGGTCCTCTGTGTTTTTTACTGTCTTCCAAACTGGACAAACTGAAACCTTTGGACTTTTCATGACAACTGAAGTTCACTACAGGTTCTCTTTCATGTTTGGAAGGGGAGGGTGAAATGAGGAGCATGCAGCTGCAACATGTAACTTCACCTCTAGATGTCACCAAATTCTACACACTGAATATTAAAAATTGTATCGAATTTGGCTGCAACACTGTTCACCCCTTAAACACTTCACCCACCCTTCCAGATAATGAGTGAATTCTTATTTTTGGTTGAAATATCCCTTTAAGTAAAAGTACATTGGTATTAACAACAAAACATCAAAACTAAAACTGCTACCCTTTTCTTACAGAATGGCCCCTAATGACCAGCAGCATTTAAATATCTCAAATCACTCCAGCTGTTTTAGTTTGGCTACTATAGATCTTAAACTGGGCTCAAGCTGTCAACTGCTGTAGTGCAAAAAGTACAATATGTGTCCCTGATTAGATAAAAGAATATAGCAAGTTGTGTAAAAGTATGAGAACTGAAGGATAAAGTAAACTTTTACTTTCCACCACTGCTCATTAGACTGTAATTGAAGGATTTATCTTGAAGTGTGTTTACATGGTCAGTGTATCTGCAGTGTGAGGACACTAGGGCCGCACGGACACCAGCTCTGCAGGCTGCTGCTCCGAGGTTATGTAGTTCAGGGGCCGACGTCTCACTAACTACACACCGCTCGGTACCTGTGGGACCCCATGTTAACCGGCTGCTATTATTGTCTCTACCATGAGGTCTACATATGTATTTACATTCTGCACATAGACTTAGACTTCACGTCGTGGCTTTGAGACATGAGTGGACTGACAGCAGTGGAAAGTGCTTCATTTCCAAACGGGCCACAAAAGGTAAGAACTTTCACTGAAGTTTTCAAAAGACATCTTGCTTCGTGTTTCAAGTGGGAAAACCACAAAAATCGAATTCGTCTATTTTCTGAATCCTTAAATTAATGTTCATCCTCTTTATGGGTCAAAACATAAAAGTAAACAAACTAATAGATAACAGTTAAATACAACTGAAGACCGTGATGGGGATTTAAAGAAGAGTACGTGGTCGAGAGTGTCGTAATGTGTCATGAAAAATATATTATATCTTACTGCATGACTATAAGCAAAGTTGTCCTTCACACACACACACTTTATATATCTATATATATATATTACTACTATATCCTACCTTCTAAAAATAGCACATTGAAGTCTTTAGACTGAGAGAAATGTCAAAACTTTTAAAAAAAAGCACTTGTTTTCTGCAGCTAGGTGAGTGTAGGCTTTACTTTTTATATGACAATAAAAAACAAATATAGTTATTGACAGCAGTAAACTGTGTATGTGAAGTCTTCCAGGCTGACAACTAAGATGGGTGCAGTGGCCTATAAATAAAGCCTATAGAATGATGTGGCGATAACTGAACAGCTGTGGTGGTGAACTCTGACATGTATGAGGGCGTTCTCGCTTGAAAATGCTGCTTTAATGGGGTGCTGCTGAGCACCAGATAGTGTGTGAAGCCGGCCACCAGGGGGCTGTAGTCTCAACAGGTGATCATAAGTGCTGAGCATGTTGATATAATATCTAATGTACACACTGCTCTCAGACATGAACAACCACACTGACAATAGTTTGTGCATAACCGAAGTGTTGGAGAAAAGTTAATATACTCATCTTGTAAAAATACACAAGTATTATTCGTAAAATGTATTTGTAGTGTAAAAAGAAGGGTACTCGCTTCAGAAAAAGGCCCCTGTCAGTGTTATACTAGTATAAATCACACTGACGGATTCATACTACTAAAGTGTGAGTGTGTGCACAGCATTTTAATGATAAAGAGATGGAGCTATTTTAACGTTGTACATTGGATTCACCTGTAACAATGACTTCTGTTTTATAAGTGAATAGTAATAACAACTAATAACGAATCCCTGCAGCTCTCAAATTAATGTAATGTACTAAATAAGTGTTTTTCCCTCCAAAAGTTGTATAAGTATAGCAGACAATGTATATGCTTAAGTACAGATGTCAAAATTGTGTTGGAGTAACTTCTTTAGGGATATTTTTCCTTTAAACACGTGGCTCCTATTGTGACTTTTTTCTCCTTTGTAGTGTTCATCAGTTATAGAAAATATTGGGAAAACTTTTCCAGCTCTTACGCTCCAGATATCGCACTTGTATTGCTATGTGGTAAATGTGGCCAAACTATGAAGTGAAGTAGTTTTTTCAGTGTTACTCATGAAATGCTTTGTGAACATCACAGCCACAGTCAGGCCTGCCCAGATATGTATTATGTTAAAACTGCTTCTCTTAACTTCATGGCAGAAAACAAAATGAGCACGTTTAAAGACACATTCTTTAATTTCCTGTCTATCTGTTCCAAGTCATATTTTCCGTTGGTGATTCATGCCAGTAATGTGCAGAGGACATATTTATTAGCTTCAAATTATTCAATCACTCAGGCATCACTTTTTAATAAAGCCTAATGTTTTATACTTGATTACTAAGTTTAGTAATGGTCAATAAATCATTTTAATGAATAATAAGCAAGAAATGAGCCAAAATGTTAAGTGTTTGTGTTAAAGTGTGTGAAATCAATTTGGTTAGTGTAGATCCTCCCTTTATTCACAACTTTCTTACATTTGCAACTGCACATGTGATGGCTTATTAGAAAGTCAGGAACCCTGTTTTTAGGAAATGATCTATTTACCCATTATACAAAATGTTTTTTACAATACTCATGTACCTAAACTAACAGAACTAAAATGTTTAAGTATAGATAAGTCAAATCCTGCATTTTCAGTTCTAGTGCAGAGTCTAAACCTGCCTGTGTTAATGCTCTGGAGCTGCTTCACAAATATTCCTTGTCATTAGTGAATCCTCCTCAAACAGATGATATACTGTCACTTTTTAATGTTTGCATGCCGGCCGCTGTGTGCAGAACTTTTTTTAATTCAATCTATAGTGCAGTGTAAAGTTAGAAAAAAACTAGGATGTGGTCATCCTGGTTCATCTGCATTTACAATGGTGAAGTCAGACTTTTGTTACTCTTCACTTATTAATAATGATTTACTTGACTGCTGATTTACTTGACTGCTTTAGTTTTTCATATGTTGCATGTCGAATATTTCAGAGCTTTGTTGAATAATTGGCACAATCTTCAGACCCAAGTTCACAACTTTTCTAAATGAAAGCTCTGTAATCCAGCTTGATGTAAAGCATTGCAGTAACATAGCAAATGCTGTGATTGTACTTTGAAGACTAATTGCCAAACAGGAAGTGTTTTTATGCCTGGTGTATCTATGGGAGAGAGACAGAAAGAAAGAAAGACAGACAGACAGAAAGAAAGACAGGCAAGCAGGCAGGCAGGCAGGCAGACAGAAAGAAAGACACACAGACAGAAAGAAAGAAAGAAAGAAAGACAGACAGAAAGAAAGAAAGAGAGAAAGACAGAAAGACGGACAGACAGACAGACAGACAGAAAGAAAGACACACAGACAGACAGACAGACAAAAAGAAAGACACACAGACAGACAGAAAGAAAGAAAGAAAGACAGTCAGACAGAAAGAAAGACACAGACAGAAAGAAAGAAAGAAAGAAAGACAGTCAGACAGAAAGAAAGACACAGACAGAAAGAAAGAAAGAAAGAAAGACAGTCAGACAGAAAGAAAGACACACAGACAGATCTGCATTTTGTAGGGGTCATTTTTTAGAAACATTATTTGTTTTCAGATCCTCAGATGAGAGCATTTGCTGCTTTTCTTCATCATGTATCACAGTCAAGTCAAAGTGAGTGACTTTGCATGTTGGACCACTGGTCATACGAAACCAGCAACTTACAGACGTTAGCTTGGACCTTTCGGAATTGTGATGATTATTATTTTTTCTGACATTTATAGACCAAATAATTGATGAATGGAGAAAATAATCATTGGATCAATCAATAACAAAAGCAATCCTGAGTTGCAAAGGACAGATGTCAAAGGTCAGACTGAATTGCTTTGTGACCCCTCCCACAGACATTTGCACAGTTTATGGGAAATTCAAGACGCACAAGATCATGACAATGAATCTACTAAGAGGGGGGGGGGGGATTCAGGCTGTGAGTGGATTTTGATCAAGCCTCCATTATTCGACAGGTGTAATTCAGAATAGCGAGACCTCTGGAGTCTGGGAAGGTCCTCTGGGGAGATCAGAGGGTCATGATGGAGAGATAGAGGTGATATGACGTAAGTGTGATGGAGAGAGAGAGAGGGAGAGAGAGAGAGATATGGACCGTGGCCAATGATCAGCAGGCAGAACAACTAAAGTAGAGACACAGAAGAAGAGATGTCTTTAGTCTTCTGCAGGCCTGAAACGCGAGCATGTCACATGGGATGATACACAGCCGGATATGAAGCAAAGGATGATGATGAGCAGCAGCCAGGTGCTTCAGTCCATTTATTCATTTCATTCATTAGTCCGGGTCATTCCATAGATGCGGGCGATACAGAAGGGTCCAGACTATATCCTGAAACACGCTCCAGTCTTAAACATGATGCCGAATGCCACGATCGCACACTAGCGGAGGCTGAGGAGGACGCATGAATTAAAGCATCACCCGCGCCGCACGTTTCCCTCCCTTGATGTGCTCTAACGGAGGTGAGCGGAGGACAGAGCGATTCCAGCCCGCAGCCGATGCCCGGAGCAAACAGCGGCCGCGGTCGACAGGAAGGTGGTACCCCGGCGTCGGTGTTCATTACCACGGATCCGACTCCGGAGGCGCGTCGCTCGCTGAGGCATGGGCTGCGCTCCCAGTATCCACGTCTCTCAGAGCGGGGTGATCTACTGCCGAGACTCGGACGAATCCAACTCGCCGCACCAGACCACCACCATCTCTCAGGGCACCGCGGCCACGCTGCACGGGCTCTTCATCAAGACCGATGCGGCCGAGACCATCCCCTCCGTCATCACCTACCAGAGCCGCCACTCGCGCAACAACTCGTGCCGGGAGCGCAAGGAGAACAGCGGCGGACACATCCGCATCGAGGCCGAGACGCAGACCAGCCACGCCAGCGTCAAGGTACAAGTAGCGCGGGGCTCAGCATCATCCGCATACATGATAGAAATCCCACGTGAGGAGGCCTCGTGTGTTTGTTTGTGTGTCTGATCGTTGTTACCTGTGGAGGCCCGAGCCCGCTGCTCTAAATCCATAGGTGTTCATTCAGTCTCATCTCATTCATGCCTTTATTCCTGCAGCCATCGGTGTGCAAGAGGGATCCCATTGTAGCCGCAGTGGCTGTGGCAGTTTATCTGGCACATGCTTCCATACATCGCCCAAACGTGCATGTGATGAATGACAGGTTGTCTGTCAGATTCAGTGCTTCATTAATAAAAGGACTCTGCAGCAAGGCATGGATCTCATTCCTCTTATTTAGCATCTATAAGCATGAGCTCTATAACTCTGTGATGTGTCTGTCTGTGGACGCACATATAAGTGTGTATTAATGCACAGCATTTGTCAACAATCAGAATTTCTCTCATTAAGACATATTTCATTATAACTGTGTTTTATTGTATATTCATTCATTATCAGTTTATGGCAAAACCTCAAGTATGAGTGACCAAGAGGGGTCATATTGACAAATACATTCATTAACACAAAATAAACACTATCTATTTAGCAAGTGCATTATAATGCGTGAGATAAATGCTAAGCGAGTGATGTTGTAATGTTCCCGTCAAGACTTGTTGCATATACAACAACGCAGACATGAGAAGTGTTGCTGAAGTTTTGATTTCCCTTCCGCATGCACCGTAGAAGGACAAGTTGTCCCCCAAGAAATCCCTTCTTTACATTTCTCTCTCAGACAAATGAGCAAAAATGTGCATCCAATTGGTCAGTTCTTAAGCAAAGGAGCAAAGAAAGTGTGCGTCAAAGTGCCAAGAGACGGTCTCCTCTGTAGTTTTAGAACGTGGGTTCATCCACAGGACAGTGTAACTGAAAAATTATAAGAAAGAAGAGTTTTTACTCTTTTGTGTGTCGACACAAAGTTTGATTTAAAGTTAAAACTTGACAAACAGAGAGGTATTGTCAAATTCGGTCTGGGAGACAGTCGATAACAACCTTATTAATCTAAGTCGGTAAAAAGTAAAAATGAAGTTAGCAGCTCATTATATCCATAGTGGTTGATGACTTAAAACTTTATGATTCACATGCTTTGAGGCTAAAATCTACTGGTTTGAAGACAAAGAAACTCACAGGGTTAGGGGTCCCTAGGGTTAGGGTTAGGGTTAGCTAACCCTAAGTGTTTAAACTTGTGGACTTGTGTAGACGTCTTTTCATATTAATTGCGTGCTTTTTTTTACTGGCTGATGGATCCCTCTCATGAGGGAGCATGTGAACAGATACTTCCTTATATTTATGATCGAACCCCAGAGGATATGGCTGTGTTTTGGTAAGACGCAGTGCAGCAGATGATCGTGCCATCAGAGCCTCAGAATAGATTAACCCATTCAAGTCTGGATGGACAACTTTAACAAACAAAAAAGACACTTTCGAATAAAAAGCTTTTTTTCTACATTTGATTTGGGTAAGCTACACTTTCTGGACCTGGGGTTTAAAAGCTGCGGTTATTTGATGTTTGTTGATCTGTTTTTTAGTTGAACTAATGTAATTCTGAGTCTTTATAGAGTCCAAGTTCATTGCTATTTCATTCTCACTATTTATACATTTTTACACATTTGCCTTGTCTTAATATGGAGGAAAACTGGCCCAGTATGAGCTGAACTGAACTGAATGAAAATATTTAGTCGTCCAAACGATTCCAACATTGGAATATACCTTTTATAGATTTGTGTCATGAGTTTAGGGAGACACTAAATGTGTGTGTGTGTGTTGGTTTGTCAGCTGTTCCTCTGCTCTCCCTCAGTTCCCCTCAGTCTCTGAGGACTGAGCGAGGATCAATGATACCATTTATTATTAAAACAATCTGCCTTTCCCTGCAGGATCTTGATAATCTGCCATGGTTGATCACACTCCCATGTGTGTGTGCGCGTGTGTATGTGTGTGTGTGTGCGCATGTTTTTGTGCACAAGTCATTTGTTTACCCCTCTGGTCAGTACGGCCGGGGTGTGAAGAGTCACATGTGGAGGAGCTGATGCTGGTGGCCTGTACAGAGATCCCCCCGGGGCCTCTCACACAGTCACTGACTTAGAATATACAGAGAAGAGCAGTTTCTCAGCATCACGGCAAGCAGCTCTCGTTCAGATGTCCAAAAGTTCAGTGAACAACAGGTTCTTCGATCAGAGCATGAAAATACACCAACACCACACTAAACCAATCTAATGAACACAGCTTCCTAACCTGCTGCCCTGACTGTATTTACAGGAGCTAGTTTCAATACTTATCTTTATTTGCTTATATATTTGCAAACTGAAGTACATTATTGAGACTATACAAATGGAATCATAACACAAACAGGATGCAGGTGAGATTTCAGTGACAAACTCTTTATTACACATTATTTGTGACTAAAACATCAGATGCTCTGATCTTAAATCCCTCCGTCCTTGTTGCATAACTGTCCAGGTTTTAATTGTGGTTGACACATCACAATCATGTGACTGTATAAGCTGCAGCGCCCCTATCCTTTGTGTTGTCTCAAAAAACAAGGTCAGCGCAGTACAGACTATAAACATGTATATAATCCTCTGCACTGTGCAGTAACATCATTAGTGAGTTGTGTATACATACAACAATGGTACCATGAAAAACAATACAGTATGGATTTTTTTCTCGCGGATGGATTTTTACGTGAGAAAAACTGCTCAGATACCTACATGTATGTACAATCCATCAAAGCTGTAAGGTGAGGAAGACCTTTCTGCTCTGTGAGCATCATTTCAATTGTCAGTGTTGAGAAATCCTGTATCCTGAGGTGTGTGAGATTCAACCTCAACCTAACAAGACCCACCTGAACTGGTACCAGACAGAGCTCAGCCCTTTTTCCTTTTCTGCTCCTGTAGAAGCTTCTCTTCCTGGTGGTGTCAGTCGATATATGACATAATATTTTACCTTAAACCTTCAAAATCATCAGTATAGGATTTATCAAATTAAAGAGAATTCCAGAAAATAAGCAGCTATAGAAGAGCTGGTGGAATGGCTCGTTTTTGTTCAGAAGGTTTAACCAGCCCAAAGAAACTGTGGATGAGGGGGACGTCCACTGTAACGAGATGGTCAGCAGTTCAATCCCCATCTTCCCCGTTCTGCATGTCCTTGGGCAAGATACTGAACTCCAAATTACACCTGATGGCTGTGCCTTTCAGTGTGGTGTGTGAGTGATATGTGATAGAGAAGGTGCTGCGAATAGATGCACATGTGTGTGAATGGGTGAATGGCAAAGCTTTGAGTGGCCATCGACAAAAGCTGCTCCGTAACTACAGCTCATTTACCATTTAAGAAATTCAATTTCCTCCACTTAGTGTTGCAGATCACACAATTGAGCAGTCGGTATCTTTGTATTTTAAATAGTTTCTTGGAATATCATGATCATAAAATAGCAAATACCAGTTACACTAGTCACCATTAAATATTTGAGCTGCAGAAATCAATGAACAGGTAAATGAGACCACTTTGAGTTTGAGTGCGATCCACAGCTATAAGTAAGTGGTGAGGGAGAGCAGCAGGGTTTGTAATGGGACACGAGACATGTTGCAGTGTGGACAGAACTTGATCAGTGAGGGATGCACGTTGTTTTAAATGGTGTCTCGAGATTTAGCGGACTGACTGCGGATGTAGTCTGGGCCTGGATGGAAGAGGGGGTGTGTGAGAGCAGGAATGTCATGCAGGCTGTGAAGTGGAACATAGTTTGGATGTCATTCTGAGGAAACTGTTTACATGCAGGGAAGTTCCCGTAGGTGCGTGTTTCCATGCGTATTATCTCATTGGAGCACAGAATGAGTTTGAATCTTTTCATGTTTCCATGTTTTTTTCTAGTTTTTAAGAGATTTGTGCTGTTCAAATTGTGGATTTGATTTTTAGATTAGAAATCTGATCAGTGCTGAATATAACATCGGTATTGAAATTTCAGCCTTGAGCCTTGTTCAGATGCTGCAGAAGTTGGGGGGGAATCTACTCACCTCTGTTAGTGAGTAAATGCATCAGTCTTAACAAAACCATTTCATTTTACATGCCAGTGTATCCTAACATATCTTGGGCAAAATGAATAGAATCAACCAGACACTTTCATGACCTTACTGAAGCTCATAATACACTGATATTCACAACTTTGGGCAAATTACACCGTCCAGTGTATTTAGTTTCTATCGTTATTATAGGAGGTTATGTGTTTGTCTGTGTTTGTTTGTTTGTCTGTTAATCAGCAGGATTATGCAAAAATCAACTGAATGGATTGCCACAAAACTGGGTGGAAGGATGCAGTATACAGGCCAGGGACAAATCCATTACAATTTGTAGCTACTTTCTTTAACATTGCAAGATTTAAAAAAATTATTTTGTAGATTTCAGAGAATAATTCATGCACCTTGTTGAATGAAATCCAACATATTTAGGGGACGGATATATGAGTGTTTGCAGATGTATGGAATTTAAATGTGGTTTCATTAGACCGATGGGCCTTGGTGGAGGTACAAGCTCTATTAATGCCATTTTTGAATTTTTAGAATTACATGTAGTCTCGAACAAAGTGGTGGACTGACTGAGCAGTGTGGCCAAACCAAGACCAAAACCAAGGCCAAACTCCCAGTGGATATTTGTGTTCTGACTGACTGATTGATCAGTGTTGGCAGGTAAAGGGATATTTCACAGAAAAATGAAAATTCACACTTCATCTACTCACCACTATGCCGACGGACGGGTGGGTGAAGTGTTTGAGTCCACAAAACACACAGGAGTGTCAGGGGTAAACTCTGTTGCAGTAGAATCCAATACCATTGAAGTAACTTCAAAGTATTGTGGACTCAAACACTTCACCTACCCCTCCATCAGCATAGCGGTGAGTAGATAGTTTTCATTTTTCGGTGAACTATGCCTTTAACATTGTTCAATATAAGTAAGAGTGT